ATCACATAAAAGGGAATAGTGATAATCATAAGCCATAAAGCAGCCAGAATCAAATGACATAAAATATGTGAACATGCTATGGAAATGAAAGGCAGCCCTGTGGGATAGAAAGTCTGAAAGCAATGACATAAAAACCATGGAAATTATAATGTAAAAAAAAAAGAAATTATAATGTAATGCTATATAAGTTGGCATAAAATAATGCCTATTCCATAAGAAGATACCACTATCACTATACACACACTAGAATGGGTGATTTTTTTTTTTTTTTTTTTTTTTTTTTAGAGAGAATGAGAGAGAGAGCATGCATGCGAGCAGGGCTGAGGGGCAGAAGGAGAGGGTGAGAATTATGGGCAGGCTCCATGCTGAGCACAGAGCATGACTGAGCCAAAATCAAGAGTCGATGCTCAATCGACTCAGTCACCAGGCATCACCTAAAGTTTTTAAAAGTGATAATACCAAATGCTGACAAATGTACAGAGCAACTGGATCACTCATACACTGCTGGCGGGAAAGTAAAATGCTACAGCTACTCTGGAAAACAGTTTGGCAGTTCCCTACAAAACTAAATATGCAATTACCATATGAACCAGTAATTATACTCTGAGGCATTTATCCCAGGGAAATTGAAACTTCTATTTACACAAAAATCTGCACATGAATATTCCAGTAGCTTTATTCATAATAGCCAAACATAGGAAAAATCCGCCATGTCTTCAGTGGGTGAATGGTCAGACTGTGGACATCCTACCTGTGGACTGCCACTATAGCACTAAAAAAGGAAGGAGCTACTGAAACACGCAGTAATCTGGACTGATCCGTGGAGTGTTATGTTGAGCGAACATGTATCATGTGATTCTATTCATTAAAGCGTTCTTGAATGACACTGCCGCTGAACGGGAGAACAGATCAGAGACTGAAGGAGTCAGAGATTGGAGAGGAGGTTGGGATGCGGTTACAAAAAGGCAACATGAGGGATCCAGGTGGTGTTGCAGCTGCGCTGCACCTTGACTGTAGTGATGGGTACATAAACCTATGAATGTGATAAACAGCACTGACCTACACACACACACACACACACACACACACACACACACACCTCGGAGCACAAGTGAAACCATGAACCTCTGGATACAATCAGTAGATTGCATCAGTGTCAATATCCTGCTTGTGACATTGCACTATAGTTTCCCAAGATATTACCATGGGGAAGCCAGTAAAAGGTACATGGAATCCCTCCGTATTACCTGTGACAACTGGATGTGAAACAAAAATTATCACAACGTAAGTTTAATTTAAAAATGATGCCTACATTATTTACTATATGAAAAGGGAGCCTGCTGTTATAAAACCTGCATACTTGCAGGTTGGAAGAACACACAGGTTTCAGGTGGCCTACCAGGATCCACTCTAGCTATTTAGGCACAGAGAAATTTAACTCAGGAAATGAAGTGCCCACAAGGCATTGGGAAGGAGTGGGCAGCAGGCTCCAGCCTGAGCTTCTGGTGGTGACTCTCCACCCACACTGTAGAACACAGGCCACCAAGAAGCCGCTGTCTCTGCCACAATCAGCGGTCTTGCTGGCTCAAGATGCACCTCTTCAGTTGCTCTCATGCCTGCGACATACTGTGTTCTGTGCCTGGCTTGGACTTAACACGACGCAGGCCATGTGCCACTGCTTTTGCTGATTCAACAATCATGCCGCTGTCGGGAGAAACCGCAGACTCAGCAGCAGCTCCAGCTCTAGCTCATTTCCACCTTCCAGACCTCTCACTGTGCTTTGGCTTAGGGACCGGTGGGTCACATGGGAAACCCAAAGCTTAATGGAGCCTGAGAAATACTCAGCTTACACGTCCATCTTCTAAAATGAAGTGAAACTTGCTACAGGAATTTAAATAGAGCTCAGGGAGCCATTCTGTAGTACCTGCCACAGACATATATTGAAATTTCTAGTGCATCTATATCTCTATGTCATGTGTTAATATCGTTTTTAAATTTTTTTTGATTCCTTTCTCTATGTCTGTTTTTTAAAACCAGGAAAATATATGACAATATTAATAAAATCAAAAAGCAATTCTACTTTTGAAAGGCCAAACTAAACAAGTATTGAGTAAAGAAGTTTGTGGGATGGAAATAGGGCCATGGGGATTAGACTGATCACTCTTTAAAGTAACTTTTGAGTCCAAGAGCCTACATTTTCATGATAAATGGCCACTGCAGCCCAGAAAACTTTAGGTCCAAGGTTGAAAACTAGAATGTCTGCAATAAAAAAGTAATATAAATGAGTGAAACCAGCCAGATCAGATAATGGAAAATGGTGATGACTATGGCAAATATTCCATGTCCGAAGTGGAAAGTCACTATTTTGCTCCAGTTCATTACTGTCATGTGGAAATTCAGGCCCAGAAGTATCCAACTTCTGGTTTCTTTTTAAAGGAAAGTAGGAACAAAGGACTTTTATAGAAGATATGATGATTTAAAATGTTGGTTCCAATGCATTCAAGACTTGGCTTCTACTGATTGCCACAAAGACAACAGCTCCTTAACAGCCTATTGTTTAGGGACTCACTTCTGGAAGCTCAAGTTGAAATATTTTTACTAACACAGAAAAGTCCAAAGAGAGTGCCCCTGTAAGCTAGATCTGTCCAGAGAGTCCCCAGTATGAAAGCTCTGCTATAGGCCCTTGCCACACCTGCATCTCAGTCTTTGAGGTTCTAGTAGATACTTTTCTGAACAACAGTGACTCCATTAGAGGAAATCCAGGCAGGCAGTCGGTATAGCTACCATGAGAACTCATAGACTTTGATAAGTTTCCCCAGAGAACACGTTGGGACTAAGGCAGAGATGAGTTTAGTGGCTGTTTGGTGGTACCAATTGCTTTGTCTCTGCCTCTCCCATGAGTGTCATGTCAACTGTTATGTCAGATGAGGCACAAGGCAAGAGGGACACTCATGCTTTGAGACATCATTCAGTACTGAATTCAGCCTTACAGTTTCACCTTTGAATTTATTCCTAAAAGGAAACATAAAAGGATAAGGGTAGGCTACTGGGAAAGGTAGACCTGACTACACACACACAAGAACTGCTATGACTTTTATGATACCAATAGCTAACATTTGACTATGTTTTCTGTGTACCAGGCATTGTTCTAAGCACATTACACATGTTAACTTGTTCAGTCCTTACAATCAGCAGTGAGATAAGCAGGTAGTTATTATTTCTGCCTTAAAGATGAAGTCACTGAGGCACAGAGACTTCTGGCAATGTGCTGGATTCAGTGTACACATCACTGGAGATCCAGGCCCTGTCTGGCCAGAGCTGGCCTAGCAAAGGACAACATTGCTCTCAGCATCATGGAACCAGGTCATTGATACTATTTCTACTCCTGCAGGCCAACGGGCCATGTGTAGCAGCTTCCTACACCCTTCCTTCTGCTTATGGACACAACCCCACAGTTTTTGCCTCATTGGGCTACCCATCACTCAGCTCCTACCTGGGCTTCCCTGTGGCCTCTCAGGAGTGAGGCCTACTAGTCACTCTTGCATGGACAAACTAGAAGTTGGGGGAGTTAACTCTCAGTGGTAGGGAACTTTAATCAATGGAAGGCAAGAATCTGTAGATAATTTCTCCTTTCTTTCCACAGGAAATAGTTTCCTACTGCTTCTTTAAAGCTATCTAGCAAGTCTGAGAAATGAGCTTGTCATGAACCTACAATCAGCCCAGGCCTACACTTCCTTCTATCTATGCTCCTTTCCCTGCCTCACTCCCCTTTGCCCTTATTCCTCCTGTAGGGACTATGCTCCCCAGTGAGGGGTGAGCACAGAATCTTGTACCTTTGGCTCTGGCTTCTAGAGAACCCCACTAATGCAAGTAACTCACCCAAGGTTTCATGGCAAGTAAGTGCCAGTGCTGGGGCTGGAGTCTGTCCCCAGGGTTTATGTTGTCTCATCACTCAGTAAACCACCTCTAAAGGGAAAACATAAAACCCTGGGTTGCAAAGTTCATGTCATCTTTAAAACTTACCTCTCCCTATCTGCCTGGTGTGTTGCTGCAATTTCCTATCTTTCTCCAAACTTAAATCGAACCTTAACTTTACTAAAGGGGTGTTGGAAGTTTCCTCTGTAGAGTGCTGACCTTGTTTATTCTGTATCATCCAACTAAAGGATGCAGGCTGTTAGAGGGCAAGGTGTACTTGACTGCAGTTGAGAAATCTCATAAACTTGTAACATGAAGTCATTAAATGATGGTCACACAGTTGTGTTTCAGAGTACATCTTTGTTTAGGTTGGGAAATTATCCCAACTTCTCTCCAAAAAGAAATAAATAAACCAACAACAGCAAACACAGAAACCCCCAAGTTATTCTATTCTTATTATGAACCAAATAAAAGGACAAATACAGAAACATGTAGCCAGGTCAAACAGCCCTGTGCTCGTAGAAAGCTCCTTCTAGTGGGGAGGACAGCCACGTTAGGAAACATGTTCAGCAGTGTGACCTTTGTCCCTAATGAACTCTTTTTTTTTTTTTTTTTTTTTTTGTGCTTTGTTTTCATTTTTTTTTAAAGAGGACTTTGTTTATTTGCTCAATTGAAAAACTTCAGGTAATAAGTAATGAGGATGCTAGTATTTTTTTTAAAGGTGTGACATCCCAGATCCATGTAAAACATAGAAGTATATGGGCTATTCAGACACAATAAGCAGAATCACAACATATTTTATCTCATCCACAGGTAAATCGTGTTCAACTACCAATCCATTAATAAATACTGTCTCTATCAAGTTCTTGCTTCATGTCAGGCTTGGCAAAGCCTCTACCTATTTTACCTCTTTTGAATCTCACAAGGGTAGGCACTATTAATTCTTCCTCATTTTATGAGTGAGAAACTGGAGCACAGAGAGGTTAGGTAGTTAGTCCAAGGACACACAGAAAGCAGGTATATAATCAGAAACTGAGCACTGCAAGCTTGGCTGCAGAACCACCCTGAACCCCCATGCTGCCTACCTCCTCTCTGAGATGTGATTATCCATAGCCAGTAGTTGGAGACTTTCTAGCTTCTCTTAAGAATGATTTCTGAAAAAAAAAAAAATGATTTCTGGCTTTCTTTTCCAAACTACTCCATTAAGCTTTTAGCAATAATTTTGAATTTCTCCATATATAACCTCTTGCAGTGATGAAATAATATTGAGTGTCCAATGTGGGATGCTTTTGAGAATAAAAGGGGAGCACTATTAATAATTAAACCAGGACAACAGGTGAAACCAGGACTGTTTTAAATAAACCAAGATGAAGAGTTACCTGAACATATAACATTTGCCCTCAAAGAGAAACAGCAGAATCCGTGCCATGTTACATTAATAGTGTGAAATGCTGAAAAAGCTGTGAGACTATGACAGAGTTAGTAGGAGGAATCAAGGGCTCCTTGGAATGGAACCCTTCAAAGCCTTTCCAATTTCTTTACAGATATTTCAAACTTCTTAGTATGTCACAAAAGGTCTCTTATTTTCTGGCTCCTTGCCTACTTTCCTACCTTATCTCCAAACTCTTTCTTCCTTCCTAATACTGTGTTCTGGTTATGTTGGTTTATACTAATTGTTCCGTTCTTTCCACACCTCTGTGTCTTACGCCTACCATTGCCTTTTCTTAAAATGTCATTTACATCTTTGAAGAACCGATTCAGAGCTGACCTATTTTTTTTTTCACTAGAATGTGAATCCCTTACCTAAAAATTGGATCCAAGTTATACAAATAATAAGCAGTAGAGCCAAGAGGTTAACTTGGATTTAACTGGCTTCAAAGTCAGGTGACCCAGCTTTCAAAGGATTAGGAGGAAGATTTTTCAATAGGAAAGTTGGAAAAGGAGGGAACCAAATTCAGGCCAAGGAACAGCATACAAAAAGACTGGGAATTCAGGAACATTGTGATGGAAAAAGGATGGGAAACCCAGAAAAGCAGGAGATGAGGCTGGCAAGGAGGAGGAGCCAGGTTGTCCAGGGCCTTGCTAACATACCTCATCATGGTAGTAGACTGAGTCACACGCATTGCCAAGGGTGATCCTACAAAGATACTCATTTCTCAACTTCATTCCTGAGAGTATCAGGTTGCTCCTAAGATGGAACTATCAAACTCTCTTATACACCATAAAGAAGAACATAGTCTCTACATCTCCATTATTGCTTTGATTAGAAAAATGTTATTAACCTTTCAAAAACTTACTATTTTGTTTTCTTAGAGTTTGGTTAAGGTCCCACACTTATCTTGAAAATGCTAGTTTCTGCACTTTTTTTAATTGAAGGGCTTTAGGGCACTTTCAATTAAGTTGTGGTATATGAACTGAAACTTGCAATATATTAAAAATATTCTACTGCACAGTTCACCAATTACCCAATTTCTAATTTGAGTCCCATTGTCATTCCAAATTTGCACTAAAACTCAGAAGTTATACTCAGAAGGAATGACTGAGGGCTTCAGCAATCACAGATATGTCCCCAATGCATTTGGGCTTACTTAAAGACAATCTGTCTAAAATAATTCCAGTCCCAACTTTTACTTAGAGAATCACAAGGCTGGGAGGGAACTCATAGACCTTCTTTCAAATTCTTCCTCTTATAGATGAACAAACTGAGGTTTAAAGAGGGTTAACCATTCAACAAAGGTAACTGAGCTAAGGGTCAAAGCTCTGTCCTAGGGTTGGTTGGCTTCCTATGCCTGTTCTTGGGTAACATTCACTTTCTAGAGAACCTGTAATAAGGGTCCGGTGTTTTAGGCTGGAGGTCTCACAGCCCTAATCTGAGCCTGGTTTTCTTTCCCAGCTCCTTACAAACTACACAATCTACATCATTGGACTCATAATTTATTGCCTCCAGCCAGAACAGGATCCAGGCCCCACCCATGCAGCATGCTCCCAGATTGCCTCTGGAACTATCTCTCCATAATGTCCAGCCCAGGAGGATGAGCAAGGGGGTGAAGTAGGCATAAGGCTGTAGGTCTGTATCTCTATTTAAGTCACTCTGTGTACCAGCAATACCAAAATGCACTTTAAGGCTAAATTGGAATTATCTATTAGCAATTGTTTTTCATTAACCACTGCTGTCTGCCTCTTATTAGCAAAGCCAAATCTGAGCTGTTGAACAGCTGCTTCATATCCCCACACAATTGTTAGGGCAAATGTCCATAAATTATTATGCAAATGTGCCGACTGTGACTGAGTAGATAAAATGGTTTTCAATTGAATGTACTGAATTCCACGTGTCAGGAAGTTTTTTGACAGGTGGAGCCATACCGCATCCAGAAGAATGCATTGCAGGAATTACTAGGAAGGACTCATAACATGGAAGACAGTAGCAACTTTTCCTCTGCTTAATAAATATTATTGCAATTGCTTCTTTTTAATTAAAATAAAATGTTGAGAAACAGGATATAATACTGGTAATCTCATCACTCGACACAACTACTTCATTTCTGCCTATAGCTTTCCAGGCTTGAAAACTATTCTTGAAAATTTAAAAACCATCATGAATGTGCTCCTTTGCAGTTTTGCTTTATAAAATTTAATATACAATCAGCATTTTTTCCCAATTTCTGGCTTTCACTTCTTACTTTAAATAATTCTAATATTTTGCCCAGATGATGTGCTATAAAGTAATGTAACAATTTTTCTCTTTTAACTCTGTTGCTATTAAAAATTGCTACCATTAAATACATGTCCGATTTTTTTTTTCATTTATATAGAATAGCTTTCTTAGGAAAAATTTTCACGTTTGGACTAGAGATGTGAACATGTTTACAGCACTTGCTATTCATTATCATATTGATTTCCAAAAGGGATATACTTAATTTGCAATGCCATCAACACTATGTGTGTGCCAGTTTTCCAGGAATCTTGGCATCTTGTCTTTTATTTATTTATTTTAAAAATGTTACTAATTTGCCAAATTATAAAATGCACTCAGGTTGCTATATAGTTCTTATTTTATCAATTGATTGATTGATTGGTTGAGTTAGTCAGTCAAGAATTATTTATCAAATGAATGCCTTGCTAGGATCTGGAGAAAGAGAGACAGATGAAGTCCTGTGCCCTAAAGAGACCTCAGCATATAAGTTAGTGGCATAGCATAGCATATATAGTATAGTGTTTTAAGAAATATGATACAGTTATACATAGGGCACTGTGAGAAAGCATGGGGAGGGCACATAATTTGGGTCAGAGGTGTAAAAAAGGATTCCAGAAATGAAGTAACAAATGGGGGGGGGGGAAGAATCACAGAGAAATCATGGACGAAGGCAAGGCTAGAAGCATGAGAGGGAAGATCAGCTTGGAAGAGCCATGGATCTAGCTGTAGAGATCTACAGAACAATGCCATCATATGCCTGTAGCATAGACTGCATGGAGTTACGTGGTGAGAGAAGAGACAGGCATATTAGTTAGCACTATTTTGGTTTCAAGTGTCATAAATGTCAAGTAGAAATAGTTTAAGCAAGAAGGAGGAAGTAGAAAAGAAGGGAGAGAATTATTTGTCATAAAGGACTATAATATCTCAGTGAGCTTAAGGACAGCAATATATACAGGTCTTAGAAGCAACTATTAGCAGAAAACTTAGGCCCTGACAAGCATTTCTCTCTTATCTCCTCTCTGTTTCTTTCTGGATTTCTCTTTCTCCATCTCTATCTCTCTCTCTCCCTCCTTTCCTCCCTTTCCTCTTTCTCCTCTCTCCTTACCAACATTCTTGCCTTTTCAGTTTATTTTGCAGGAAATTTAATCATTAGTGGCTTTACAGTGTACAGTTTAGACATTTAAACAGACTGACATCTCCTCTGACTGTCCTTGCTTGGGTCAGAAACCCACCTCTGAAACGATTTACTGAGGCTATGAAGGCAGGGCATCAAGGTTCTACATGAGCACGAAAGTTCATGCTGAAAATGTGATAGTCCCAGGCAGAAGTGACCATTCCAACAAAGGGATAGGTGAGTATTGAGGTGCTAGGAAAATAAAACAAGAGTCGTCCATTATTTTTGAAGAGAAACCATCATTAGTGAAATTGAATGATATGCCAAGGACTTTCAATTTCCTACAGGAAATACAACTTTATTAACTGGCCAAAGTTTGTATCCCCTACTCTTATAGCCCTCTACTCTTCTTGTTTGTTCTGAAGGATTTGGTTTACGTGATCTACTCTTGCAGAGCTGGTGGTGAAGAATGAGAGAGCTGAGTACCTCACAAGTCTTCAGTATTGGCACACCATATGTAGATAAACTATAGTAATTGGAACATGCCTTGACCTTGATCTGAAAAAAGACGTTGTGGGGTCCACATGTTTAGCCTCAGACCACACAGTCTGATTAAAGACTTACCCAAGCTGGACCAGAATCACTCCAGAGAGCTGCCATACCTTCTGTTCTCTTAGGCTTTTCTCAGCCTGTCTTGATCTGGAGCAAAACCAATGCCTTCTCTTTCTCTAATCCCACTCTTTTTCAGTGCTTTCCAAATTAGTATAAACCATAAAGTCATTTTTCATTAACTAGTGGTTAAAAAATAGGAAAAAGGAAAAACCTAAAGAAATTTTGAATCAGAATTTGAAATAAGTAGATGTCTTCTCCTTTGGAAAATTTAAAAAAAAATTTTTTTCTTAATGTTAGAAAGGTCACTCTGGCAGCTGCAGAGTATGGATTGCTATAGGTTGAGGTTAGAGGCAGCAACAGCAGTTAGGAAGATAGTTCTATTCCAAGTGAGAAATGATGAAAGCCTGAACAAAGACAGTGGTCTTAGAGACAGAGATGGGAAGATAAACACTAGATATTATTAAGACTTGATAAATCATTTAGGAAATTTTTTTGAAACAAATAAGTGGAAAATGAACAGTACAAACTGGCTCTAACAATAAATAAATTTCCTTGCTAACAAGATATTAAGTCCAGAAAGAGTTTAGAAGTCAGTTACTTACCTTGATTTCTACTGTGTATGTCCACTTGATTTTCTGTGCTCACTTCTTTGTGCTGATTTTATTCTCAAGATGGTAGCAAGATGATTATAGCAATTCTAGACCTATTTCCTGGGCATGACATCATCCATATAAAGAATTATATACAGAAGCTTACCCAT